TTTGGAGCCCTAAAAAGCCGGACATGTCCGGGAAAATCCGGACGTATGGTAACCCTAGTGAATCAGAGCAGGGGGGTGGCCATGGTCTGAGCAGGGGGCGGAAATTTACTGGTCTGGGGGGTCAAGCAGCTGGAGGCAGCATTAGGAGAGGGGCTAAAGGGAAATTCAGGGCTGTGGGGGGAGGAGACGGAGTTAAGCCCAGGCGTGAGGCGCTGGCAGAGGGTGACAGAGGGAAAAACCCAGCACAGGTGGGGCAGAGGGGGCAGCAGTTACCCCAGTGGCACTGAGACACCCATGCTTGGCAAAAATAGGTTGTTGGGGGAGGGAGGGCGAGATGCTTTTTTATTTGTACGGGCACATGAAGTGAGCATGCTCAGTACATCTTCTGAAGCCACTGCCCTTCCCCCTGCCCTAACTGTGCGTAGATGTATTAGCAGGAGTGTTGTGAGCAAGACCCGAGAAGTAATTCTTCCACTCTGCTCCGCGCTGAGTAGGCCTCAGCTGGAGTACTGGTTTCCGAGTGGTAGCCGGGTTAGTCTGTATCAGCAAAAAGAACAAGGAGTACTTGTGGCACCTTGGAGGCTTTTGCAGTATTTTCCACTGCATGCATCCGATGAAGTGGGTTTTAGCCCACGAAAGCTTATGCCCAAATAAACTGGAGTATTGTGTCCAGTTCTTGGTGCCACATTTCAGGAAAGATGTGGGCAAATTGGAGAAAGTCCAGAGAAGAGAAAAAAAAGGAAAAAAAAAAAGATTAAAGGTCTAGAAAACATGACCTACGAGGGAAAATTGAAACATAACAGTTTTCAAGTATGTAAAAATCAAGTTGCAGTTTTTTACAATCTCCACATATCAATAACAGCTACAGATAGCACATTTCTACAGTAGCAATTTCAGACACACTGTAGTACAAGGAAATGCTACCTGGAGGCATTTGCTACAACAGGTAGCAGTTTTATACAGTAACCGCATCTTACAGTCCAATATATCAGTAACTGCTACCAGTAGCACATTCCTACGGGGAACAGTTTAATACGCTACACCTGCCCCAGCCCTTCCCCTGGGCTCCCCTCACCTGCAGGCTCCGGGTGCAGGGCTGGGGCAGGCAGAGCCCGGGGTCCCCCCGGCCGGGCACAGAGCGGTCAGGGCCAGCAGCGGCTCCGCCCGGCTGGGAGCCCCAGCCCACAATGGAGCAGCAGCACCAGCGTCTGACCCGGGAAGTCCAGCCCCGAGCACGCTGGGCAGACAGAGCCGCCTCCGCTCCCTTAGCAGCAGACAGCGCCAGAGCCCTCCAGCGTAGCGGCTCTCGGCCTGTCCGGCCTCCTGCAGCCCTTCCCGGAGCCGGATCTGTCCGGCCTGGCCCGAGTGTCCCCTCACCGAAAACGTGCTCGCTTCCAAATCAGACAAAAGTGTCACGGTCACTGACACCGACAAATCACGACTTTCTCCTTTTCACCCTAGAATTAGAACATCCATGGACTGGAATGTAAACCTGTCCTTGCAGTTCAGTGTATGCGATATAGATAGGGTT